TAGCAGGTCCAAAGAGCTACCTAGTCCAAAGCTACCTAGTTTAAAAGTTGCTATTCTTTTCTTTACATTTTAAGATTAGGGATATGAACACAATCTGTCTGAAGTGAGCTAATCTGGTATGATGAGAGTGAACATTCTTTAATTGCAACTTAATTGCATTTATGCTTTTAGACGTGGAAATTATTGATGCTTAAGATGAAATCTGAGAATTAATAGGACCTGAAGTATTTTGCTTTATCTATTATTTCTGATAATTCATCACTTTTCCAACTGCAACAACTCAAGCTTACTGGCATGAATCCTCATCTAACTAGATTATAAATCTTTCAGGGGGCGTAAACTTGAGCTATAGATCTTGGTCACCATGAGAATATAATTTATTTCTGTAGATCTTTTATATTCATAAAAATTTGCTGTATTTTCTATGACTGTACAAAAATTAAGTTGGGGCTTTTGCATCTACAAAATACAGGGTGATTTTTTTGTTGGGGGTTTTACAGTGCTACTGTGACACTGGTAGCTCATGCTATAGACAACTGCTTCGCTGTGAGTCTTTGACTATACAGCTGTTAATAATGTGGGGTAGGTCTAAACTGGATGTCTTAGTAAATTAAGGTTTAAGATTGAACTAGACCTTAAATTAAATTCTTCCCTTACTAAAGAATGGTCAACATCTTAACTTGAGTAGAAATTAGCTTCAATTTATAGTCCAAGTTATCTGATATTTAATGTAATCAAGGCCTCAAGTGTTTGGCCAAATTGGCACTGTTAACATCTAATATTTATTTTAAAATATACATATGGATGTGTTTGGAGGCTTTTTACTGTTTCATTGTTCAGCTGTTTTGTCTTCAGATCCAATGTTAAGCCAAAGTACTTTGCACAATTTTTGCAAGAAAACTTGCTTATGGTCCTCAAGAATTTCAGGGAGTATTGGGATAAGCACAACAGGAACAACAAAGTATACAAAACTTCCTACACCTATGAGTGTTTTTTCTTTTTTAGGCATATTTATTTTTATATGCTCACATATATACAATGCACAAAGGTTTGCAGCTTTTAAAAAAAAAGTAAGATTGTTAGTACAGGAGGTGTTTGGAACTGTAACAATAAATGGGTAACTGAATTGGGAATTAAGCAAAAGAGAACAAAAAGTTTAAGAATGAAATGAATTGTTCAGTGTCAGGATCAGATGTGAGTGTTTATATTATACTGACATGGGACACCACAACTGTTTTATGACTAGAAGACTGATTTCATATTTCAGTTTTTACAGAATCACAAAATGGTTGGATCTGGAAAGGACCACTGAGGGTCATCTACTCCAGCCTCCCTCCTCAGACAGTCACATAGAGAGCATTGCTCAGGACTGAGTCCAGATGACTCCCAGATATCTCCAGGGAAGGAGACTCCACAACCTTTCTGGGTAACCTATTCCAGTGCTCAGTCACTCTAACAGTAAGAAGCTCTTTTTCATGTTCGTGTGGAATTTTCTGTAGTTTAGTTTATGCCCATTGCCCCTCGTCCTAGCTCCTGGCACTACCATGAAGAGTCTGGACCTTTCTCTTAACACCTTCCCTTCAGATACTTATACACATTGATCAGGTGGCCCTGAGCCTTCTTTTCTCTAGGCTGGACAGGCCTAGCTCCCTCAGCCTTTCCTAATGTGAGAGGTGCTCCAGGCTATTCATCATTCCAGTAGCCCTTTGCTGGACTTGCTACAGGAGCTCCATGTCTCTTGCACGTGGGAAGCCCAGAACTAGACACAGTACTCCAGTGAGTACTAGACTCGTTGCCACTGATCACAACCCTCTGAGTCCTGCCATTCAGCTGGTTCCCAATCCAGCCTGCCATCCACTCATCCACCTCACACATCCTGAGCTCACCTATGAGGATGCCATGGGGGACAGTGTTGAAAGCCTTGCTGAAATCCACAGACAACATTCTCTGCTCTCCTTTCATCTATCCAGTTTGTCCCAACATAATAGGCAATCAGGTTGGTTAAGCATGATTTCCCCTTGGTGAATCCATGATGACTATTCCTGATAACCTACTTGTCTTCCATGTGCTTAGAGATGGCCTCCAGGATCAGTTGCTCTGTCACCTTTCCAAGGATTGAGGTATGGCTGACTAGCCTTTAGGTCCCAGAGTCCTAGTTCTTGCCCTTTTTGAACACTGGGGTGACATTTACTTTCTTCAAGGCCTCAGCCGCCTCCCTCGATTGCCATGGCCTTTCAAAGATGATGGAGAGTGGCCCAGCAGTAATGCCTGCCAGCTCCCTTAGCACTTGGGGGTGCATCCCATCAGGGACCATGGATCTGTTGATGTCAGGTTTGTCTAAATGATCTGTACCCCAATCCTCCTGTACCAAAGGTAAAGGCTTTCTTTTAGACAGACCTTTTTCCTGATCTCCTGGGTCAGGGATTCCTGAAGGCTGGCCTTGGATTGAAGATGAAGCAAAGGTGGCAATTTGTATTTCTTTGTCATCAGGGTCCCTGCTCCATTCAGTAGTGGGCCCCCATTTTCCTTAGTTTTCCTCTTATTATTGATGCATTTGAAGAAGCTGTTCTTGTTCACCTTGACGTCCTTAGCCAGATGTAATTCCAAATATATGTATTTGTATATATTATTGGCTCTCCTCATCACATTTCTGTGTACTCTGACAACATCCCTATACTCATCCCAAGCTGCCTGCTTGGGATATCCCTGCTTTCATCTCCTGTATATGTCCTGCTTGTATTTGAGTTTTGACAGGGGTTCCTTTTTTATCTGTGCAGGCCTCCTGCTCGATTTTAATTGAGTTTTCAATATATGAATTCTGTGGAAATGTGTCTGAGTATAACCACCTTCAAATGTATGTTCAGATTGAATGATCAACCCAGTTATTTCCTCAAAAGTACTTATTAGAACTGTGTTGGAGGCATACAAGGTAACATAATCATGAATATGCCACTTGTTTCTAAATTAACTTCTCTCAACCTTGGCAGCATGCTTTTTGTTAAATAATTATTCTTATATTTGAGGTATTCTTGTAATACTACAGCAAATGAAAGTTGCAGCAATCTATGTATTTGTTGAATAAATGAGCTTACAATTACAATACAGTCAGTGCTGTATTCTCAAAAGTGACAAATGTGGCTTAATTGGGTAGTAAACAATGAAACCTTCCTATAATTGTGCTGATCAATGACTCAGTATGTTGTGTTTTCTTCCAGACAGTATTTACCAGAATTAGCTGCTATATTTAATTGTAGGTAGGAAAAGGGCAGGGGTTGTCAGAGGGAGCATTTGTATATTGCTGGACAACTGCTGTCATAAGACTAAGGGGTTCTTTTTTTGGAGCACCTTGCAAAAGCAGATAGCATATTTAACTTTTTTTTTATTATTATTATTTTTCCTCAGAAGTCTTAAGCAGCCACTGTTCCTTTTGCACTGAACTTTGAAATGCACTAGTGCTTAAATGGTTTACTTTGTTGTCACCCATCTTTGTAAGGACAAGCAAGGTAAGGCACTTAGTGGAAAGAAAAAAACCCCAGGGTTCTTTTTTAATAAGGTTTTCCTCATTAGTGCATGTTCGTTTGTCAGGTGAAAGCAAACTAAGCTATGTTCAGAAGCACTGGGTTTTGCACTGGGTAATTTAGCAAATTTTCTCATTGAGAAAAATGTATTTTGATTATAATGTATTTCTTCAGTGTACTTAATCTGTGTGTCATGAGAACACTTGGCCTTCCTCCCCTTCCTTGTACTCTATTAATCTTCTAGCCTTTTTACCTCAGCCCTCACACTGAATAATGCCATAAACTAGAAAACCAAAGGATGACACCAAAGAGAAACAAAGAGCTATTATTGAATAAGATAAATGTAGTCCCGGTTCTGCTATTTCTAATTGACTTAGAATTTGGTGAGGATTCTTCTGTCACATGATCCATCATGGACAGACGTTAGGGTGGGAGAGAAGTAAGCAATTAAAAGCATGCTCTTCATTTCAGGTATTTTGTGATTTCTCATTCAGTTAGGTTTCATTGACTGCTTCCCTCTTCCTGCCAAGTATAAAATCGTTTGTCAGTTTTTGAGGTTAGAATTAGTGTCCCTGAAAAGACTCACATTGACAGCCACTGGGGATGGAGTATAAATATATTTTACTTCTAGAACAGGTGCTGCATTAACAATGACAGTTGAAACTTCCCCAGGCTACCCCATCATCATATGCTTCCACCTTGGCCTGTGGAGTAAACTCTTACTGATGAAATCTAATATTTTGACATTCCGGTCGATGGATTTTCATGTAGCACAGTCCACCTGTAGCATCCCCTCCCTGAGGAAGTGATCAAGTGCTGTGCAGAATCTCTAACAGGATTGAAGTATTTTATATGCAGTAAGGACAGTCAGATCTATGCAAGCTAAGATAATAAGCGTAATCAAATGTCGTACTCCAAGGAATATACTGATTGCCTCAGGGATCAGGAAAAATTTAACTCCATGTTCACCTTTTGAGCTACTTCATGCAAATAGAGCAGCTGCACAGGCAGAAAGGCCTCTAAGGCATTGGTTGTTGTCCATTCTTTCTGTCAGGGTAACAAGCTGTATAAACCAGTGGTTCAACAAACTAGAACCTATAGAAGAGAGAAAATCTTTGGTACTAGTAAAAAATATGACAAATCAGGGTTGGGAGAGAGATTTTCTACACTGGAGCACCTTAAATTAGAAAATTGATTGCTTTAGAATCGTGTTTGTCTTTGATTTGTCTCACATCATAATCCTAAATACTGCAACTCCAATCTTCTACTTAATATTTTGCATGTAAATGCATGTGTAAAGCTGTTGGTATCAACCAAGTATTGCCTGAGCCAAATCCTGGCACATGCAAACCTTTCATCACACCTTACCCCAGCAAGGCTACTTCAGCCCTCTCTCATGTAAGGTCAGTTTAGAAGATGCAGTGCGTTTAACTGATGGCTTTAGCATGCATTTTGGACTAAGATTAGGGTTTAGTTTAGGGGTACCCAGTTCCAGATATTCCTTTTAGACATAAATCGAAACAAAGTTATAACAACAAACTCCTTAGTTAAGAGCACAAGGGGAGATTTGATGCAGGATATTGTGCTTTGAAATGTTATTTCTGCACTCAACCTGCTCATTTATAACAGGTATAACCCCACCTGGTGAAACCAATGCATTTTGAGTGTGCTGGGGACCCAGGAAGGTGTTAGTGGCTTTGACCAGCCCCACCTGGTCCCAGGCATTATTTAAGCTCAGAACAGGTGGTTCCAGCTTTTTCCAGCAATGCTGCAGGCAGACAACTTCTCTTCAGGCCCCCTGGACTTACCTCTGGATTTCTGAGGTTGGTTTTGGATTTGATCTGGCTTGATGATCCTGAACCTTAAAGGAGCCTGTTACCATCACCAGCCATTGCAGGTATGTGGGTTGGTGAGGTCCCTGCCCACCAGCATCGCACAGGGTCCCTGCTTACCCTACCTCACTACTGTGGTTCTGCAGGACCCTTTTCACATGATGGCCACAGCGCAGTGAGATGAACCCCTTGACCAAGCAGGTATCTGCTTTATTTCATAAGCTGGTTTTGAAAGTCTGGAGTTTGTGGTGTTTGTTTCTGCCTTGATTTCGTTATCAAAAAGTGACCTGAGGCCTCTTGAAGTGATGAGGGGGTGATAATCTCCCGGGGGGGGGGGGGGGTGTGGATAGAGGTTTTGAGGTATACATTTGTCTGGTTTGGTTTTGTGGGGCTTTGCTGTTTGTTTTAAGTTGGTGCCCTGAAGTATGGTATTTTCTGAAGGGCATGGTGATTTCTTCCTAATTTGTTTTTTTTGTAGCAAAAACCCAGCCTGGTTTTGGGGGGGATGTTGTTTTTTTGTTCTCATTTCTTTTTCCTATAGGAGTATCTGGTTTTTGGTGGTGTGTGCTGGAGGAGAGGTGAAATGTTAGCCAAGATTTTTGACCTTCTTTGCAAGTTATTAAATTTAGTAACTTGCTAAAGTCGGTGATGTTTTGCCAGTATAAAAATAGCTTTTAATCTGATAACTGTCTGTTATAATTCTGTGTATGTGTCCTCTTGTCTTAACATTGGTAAGTCTTTTAAATATTGGTCTTTGTTAACTGTAAAAGAAGATGCATGTCCTAGTGAGAACATTTATGGAGGCGCAGGTAAAGTCCTTGAAAGTAGAGATGGTGGAAATCTCAGGGAGATGATAATCAGGGCTCAGAAAAAACTGGGGCAGTCTATGGACAGAAGAGGGAGGAGGAAAAGGGGCTGATGTTGAGAGGACAATGATTACTGCCTGATGGCTGCCAGCTGAGGTGAGGACGGAAGTAGAAGTGCTGTAACTGTGTACTTGGTGTGCATGCCACAGTAGCTTAAGTAAAGGAAGATGTCCTGGTAATGGAAATAAATTGTGTACTGTGGATTTGCAGAGTAAAACAACATGATGGAAGGACAAAGAATAAGATGTTAACTGCACTGGACTTGGAACTGTAACTCGGATATTGAGCAGAAGTGAAAGAGGCAGAAGTAAAATTAGCTGGCTTAAGAAGGGGGACATGTAATGCTGAAAGTGAAAAACAAGAAGACTGCCTGTCTATAGATTATGGTAGCTTAAAGGAAATGCAGCTTTCCTGGCCATGGCCCTGTAGCTACCCATCTGAATATCTGAAGAGCAGTATATTGTGGGTAAAAGGCAGCTCTTCCCTGGTCTTTGCTAGGAAAGGTATATCCTGCAGGTATGAAAGCACTATGCAAAAGATAGTTAAAATTGGTTCAGTCTTATTTATTAATATGCATCATGCTGTCATGCACTTCAAGGGTAGTTTTGATTTTATCATAGAACAAAATGGCAGCATGCTGAACACTTGCTCCTAGTGCTTTTTCTCAGGGTTCCCTGAGTGTCTTATGAGTCAGCTGGCAGGTCTTGGATGTTAGCTGCCATAGCTACCTTTTCTGTTTGTATTACTCAGGTGTGAGTGGGGGAACAAAGAGAAGAATTTGGTGGTGCAGCTTCTTTGAGAGTGTTTGTAGCTTGAGCTGGGTGGGCTGCCTTAGATCTGCTATTAAAATCGGTATTTACTCTTTGTAATGCACAGAGAATCAAATCACTTGGGTGGCTGCTGCTGGTTTAATAGTATAATTGAGTAGTTCAAGCAGCATCTTAGCAGCTGCTCCAAGAGGCTTTAACCTCAGTGTATACACGTTTCCTGGGATTTTGTTTTACAAAGAGAGGGATTATTGTCATATTCATTGTAATCACTCTAAGTACTGTAGGCCTGATTCCTGACTGCCTTGTGCCTTCTGCTGTCATTTACAACTGCCTAAAAAGACTATAAAATGTGATGACACTAGAATGGCTGCAATCTTCTTACATTTGTAGAGAGTTGAATGATTGTACATTGTATATGGCAATGGAAAACCAGGGCATGTGCAGAATAGAAAGTCATTGCTGTGGTGTAGGTGAGCAAGTAGTAAAAAAAGGCAGTGTAAGGAAAAAAAACGCAGTGGAAACTTTAACCTGTAATTCTAAATTAAGTTTCTGTTGAAATTTGTCTTCATGTCAGCTGTAGTGCTGTAGTGCTTGGGCTTGCTTTGGAATTGTATTAATCCTCAAGGCAACCCTTACTTTAGACAGTGTTTGTTTGTTTGGGTTTTTTTTTGTTTGAGAATAGGTAGGGCATTTGAGGAGGTAGTTCTTTTGGTGTGTTTGGTTTCTTGGTGGTTTTATTTGGTTGCTTGGTTTGTGTGTGTGTGTGTGTCCCCAGCCATATTCAGTAAGCATCTTCAGTTGTTTGCAGTCTGCTGTGCCAGGAGTGAGCCAGGTGCTGGGAACTGGCTGTAGGCAGTAATGATTTCAGGTAAACATAAAGGAGACTCTGAAGCTGGGGTCTGCAACCAAAACGCATCCGAACTGTGCTTAAAAAAGAAAAAGTGATCAGTAGGCAGGCTTCTGGTTGCTGTACCAAAGCTTGGAGTAAGCTTGCAGAACCTGACAGTTTGAGCTAGTTACAGCTATACTGCTTCAGAGACAAAGTTTGAATGAATTTCTCTTCTCTGAGAGCCAGCTGTTTCAACAGAGCAAAGTATGAAGAGCACAGACATGTGTAGGTTCAGGCTGGCAGCTGAACCTGAGATGACAAGAAAGCCCTTAGCTTGCAATTAAGACACATTTCCATTTGCCCATGTGTATCTGGTTCAACCTGAAGATTCTTGTCCTGTTTCCACTCAAGCTGGAAATAGCTAGATATCCTTACAAGTGCCAGGGAAAAAAAGAGGAGTCACCTGTTACGGGCAGCTTATATGTCACTGTCCATGACCTTGCTAGCACAAAATGTCGCAGTCGTAAAATGCCAGATCTTAAGTATGATAAAAAATGCTAACTTAGATTAACATTTATTAAGGGGAAGGTGGAGGATGCATTTCAGAGATTTAGTAGTTTTGAATTTCCATGTGAGGAAATCACTTCATTATTATGTTTGGAAGTGACGTATTTCCAAGGTTATGTTGTTGCCAAGGCAAAAGGTTCCATCTTGCATTTCCAACCAAGCCTGACTGATTAAGGGTGTTGGGAGGAATATGTTTTCCTTCCAGAATCTTAATTATGTTGACTTTAACTCATGGCAGGAGATTCTGCCAGCTGTCAGCTACTGGTTGGATCTCTTACTAATTAAAACTCTGAAGAAGCATATTAAAGGTATTCAAAAAGCCAAATCTCCCTTTAAAACTTGTCTGGCACGGCAACAAAGTGTGCGACAATGATATTGCAGCATAGATAACTTGTCTTTTGCTTTTCATCTTGGCAATGTGCCAGTTATTTTACCTGGCTATATGGGCTCTTTATTCAAAGCTCTTCTTGTGAATGGACTAACAGGAACTTGAGGTGAAACTTTGCTGTTACTCAGTTTCAATATATGTGACATTCAGGTTTTTTAAAGCAATGAGTGTACCTCATACTGAAATGCTTCACTTATGGTTTAATTTCTGGGGCAGCAGCATCCTGTAGTTTAAAAAAATTGAGCATTGAAGGAGATTATGAGATAACTTGTAATTACCAGTATTGTTGTGACACACTTCATGTTGCTAATTAGCAGCTGCAACTATGATTTGTCTGTACTTTAAAGCTTTTCCAATGTACCTGTTTCAGGTTTTAACAAAAAAAAACAAAACACCAAAACCAACCAAAAAAAAAAACCAAACCTTCTTGCATTTCTAAGCAGTTTTTCTTGGCCAACAAAAATCCTGAGCAAGGTAAAGGTATACCAAGGTAAAGGTAAAATGCAAAAAACTGGGCTTTGGCAGTATCTCTTTATTTACTGTGGGCCTGGCAAACTAGCTTTTGTAGGCTGCCCACAAAGGCAAAAAAACTATTATAGTTGTATTTTGTATTCTCAGGTATACACCAATGAAATCTAAGAAGATTTTGCAGAATGAAAAGAGTTATATCAACAGCAAGAGTTTTCAAATAGCAGGGACGTTGAATGGATAGGAAATGACGTTTAGTTTTCCAGAAGGTCAGTGAGCTTCTCTCAGATTACAGTAATTTAATTCAGACATGGGGTTCTAAGTGGGTTGCTGCTTCTTGGTGGGAAGTTAGGGGCTATGAGTAACACACTTGTGACAGATGAAAGAGCCTGTAGGTGAAGTTATTCTCAGTACATGCTTGTTCAGAAAATTAACTAGCCACAGTAAGTCCTCCTCATATTCTGTAAGGTGGCATGTGGTAAGATTTCTGATTTGTGGAAGAAGCAACTTAGAGCTGCTGCCAGGACGTAAAATAACCTGAGATTACTTAGCAGGGAGATGTGGGATTTTTCCAGAAGTTACAGTCCCTTTTGACTTCACATATGACCTTTCTCCGCTCTCTTGGTCACTTGTGGCAGATGTTGCAGTTGCTTCTGTAGTCCTGGCACCTCATAATAAGAAATCTCTCTATTTTCCTTGTAGCCATTTAGTCCTGCACCAGCTCTAATTTTATTGATGTTCAGGCCCTGGTTATGGACTTTTCTGGTGCTCCTTTTCTCCAGCTAGGGGAGTATCTAGCAGCACCTGTCTGGATTGATGGATGTATGGTGGCTACATCTGCCTCAACAGTGCAATAGTTAAAGCACTAGTTATACACCAGTTGCTTTCTTCCTGAAGGCTATCTATTGTTGTTCCTATATCTCCCTTGTAATACATGGCTGTATGTCTTTTTGGAAATGGTTGAATTATATTCATGCTGTGATCCTTCATAGTCTCTAGATACCTATTTGCAGAATTAGAATTGTTTTTCCCAATGTGGCATTTGTTCATTTACTCATTCTCATCCAGCAATAGACTTCTTTGAGTCAGTATTCCATTAATCTAATTTTTCTCACTATTTTTTCAGTTAAGCATGATGCCATGACAATGGTACACATTTTATATTATACAGATGTAGTTTTTACAAGGTGCTAAAGCAATTCTTCAGTCATTTAACAACTTAATAGGTAGATTAAAGGGTAGGGGTTTATTAATTGAATTTCAGACAGTGAGTTCCATCAAATATTTTGGGAAATGAAAAATAGATTATTGAC